TCATAAAGTAGCTTTGAAGTAAGAGGAGGGCATGACATTTCTGAGCCAGTTATACGAGCTACATTACATTTTTCATTATAACTTTTTAAATCTGAAAAGATCTGACTATAACTAATGAAGCTACACTTGCATGCTGAGTTAATTTAAAAGATATAACCTTCCAAAAAATACTTATTTGAGAACTGAGAGAGGTAATAACCTCAATCTGATATTCTGAATGATTAAAACTTGTCGCCAGGTTTTTAGATGGGCTAGAACCCAGATTAAGGCTTACATTTCAATGCAGGTAGTTGTTTATTTATTTATTATTCTTTATTTTTGCTATGGTTGAGGTTACAGTCAAGCTCACCATGCCACAATAGCAATAGCAAGCACTTCATAAACATACATCATCATGGCATTTAGTAAACTTTCACATTTTTAAGTTATAGTAGACAGAAGTATTAGGCTGGTCAAACATGACTAACTGTTTAGGTAGAAAACAAGGCTTAAATGGCCAGCTAGACATGTGGAATATAGGTAAACATGAAACTTCAAATGCACGTTATGGCCTAATTATAGGGTGAGACATCATCTGTAGTATTACTATATAACTTGCTGGGAAATGACTCAAAAGAATAGGCCACTGGTAATGATACTGGACTGTATGGTCCTGCATCTCAGTAGGTAATTGAAATATGATTGTAACAGAAACAATATTAATAATAATTACTGTTTGCAAAACCATAAGAGGAAAAAGGAATGTGGCGCCCGCCTTTGCAGGTGACTACATTGTGCAGACGATAGGCCTAATGCCAGGTTCAACCTATTCCCCTGGGTGTTAAGAGCAAGGTGTCACCCAGTAAGTCACTATACATGTCTGCAGACATGATCCGCCGTTGTGCCCTTCTTCAGCTCCAGGCCCACACAAGGGAGGACCCCGTCACTGCCGGAACTAGAGAGCTCTCTGCGGTGACAACCTCCGGGGGTGGCATTAAGGGGCCAGAATTTGGTTGTTGCTTTGTGCTGTGACTCCCTATCAAACAGCGCTGCAGGGGTTGCGGTCCTCCTGACTCTCCCACCAACGTGCCATTACTTTGGCGTTTGTGTGCCCACTGCTTGTGTCTCTGCGTTGCTGAGTGGGGGATGCGCCGGGATGCGCCCGCAGACCTGATCCAGGGTACCACAGTTTGGCCCATGTGAGTAGCGGCAAGGGCCCAGTCGATGAGTTACTCCCAGAATTGAGCACATAGTCGGTTCAAATGCATGAGGAAACGGGTCCACATTGGTGGGTGACTGTGGATAGGCATGGGTCGCTGTAGACCATTTTAGGTAGTGGTGCCGCCATTTTAGGGAGTAGGCTGCAGTCCTCCAGAACTTTAGTTTGTCAGTGTCATGCAGGGTAAGCCACAACATTACACAAGTGGGGACTGGGATATCCCCCTCCCCAGTCCAGAGGGAGGGAGGAGGGGCACGGGGCTCTAGAATCAGTTTTGTGGATGCCAGCAGATCCAAGCTGGGAGATCGTCCATTTCTCCCTTCCATGCAGTATCCGAGGTGTCTAGGCCGCAAAAGACTTCCAGGCCATGGAGCTATGTGCTGGAGCTCCAAACTTGTTCAGGAGAGTACCCCAGTGTGCAGGGTCAGGTAGGTTCACATTGAACAATCGCTGAAGGTATGATCCAACCATTAAATAGTGGAATTTAAGCTTCATATGTGGAGCACACACCATGTCAGGGCCGTCTTTAACGCGGGGCAAACGGGGCAGCTGCCCCGGGCCCAGTTTCTGTTGGGGGGCCCGAGGCACCTGCCCCGTGGGCCCCGCTGACCCCGGCGGGCGGGCGCGCGAGGGAGCACTCAGTGCTTCCTCTTCAGCTCCCTCGCGCACCGCAATGATACCGGAGCCGGAAGATGATGTCATCTTCCAGGGCCGGCATCCCTACGCGGCGCGCGAGGGAGCTGAAGAGGAAGCACTGAGTTTCGCTACGCCGCTTTCCTGCTCGACCGCCACCAGGAGCCCAGCAGCACCACTGGACTTAGGGACCCACCCCAGCACTAAAAAGGTGGGTGAGGTTGGGGATTACATTTAAAAAAAATGTGTGTGCTCTTTTTGTGTGTTAGTGTGTGCGTTTTGTGTGTTAGTGTATGCGTGTGTGTGTGTCAGCATGTCTGTGTGTGTGTCAGCATGTCTGTGTGTGTGTTGTGCATGTCTGTCTGTGTGTCAGTATATATGTGTGTGTATATCTGTGTGTGTGTGTCAGTATGTCTGTGTGTGTGTGTGTCAGTATGTCTGTCTGTGTAAATAAAGTATATATGTGTGTGTATATCTGTGTGTGTGTGCCGCATGTGTATGTGTCAGCATGTTCAGTCAGCGCGCTCTTCAGTATGTCTGTTAGTAAGTGCATGTATGCATGTGTCAGTATATCTGTCTGTGTGCCAGCATGTCTGTGTGTGTGTGTGTCAGTATATCAGTCTGTGTGCGTCAGTATGTGCCTTCAGGTGTATACCGTATTTCAGTGTATGTGGGTGTGTCAGTATATCTGTCAGTGTGTGGTGCTCGTATTTCTGTCAGTGTATGTGTCAGTATGTTGATCAGTGTATGTGTCTATGTGTGTGTGTGTCAGTATGTCGGTATATGTGTCTGTGTGTCAGTATGTCTGTATATGTGCCTGTGTCAGTATGTCTGTCAGTACGTCTACCAGTGTATGTGTCTGTGTGTGTGTCAATATATGTACCTGTGTCAGTGTGTCTGCCAGTGTATGTGCCTGTTTATCTGTATGTAGTCAGTGTATGTATCTGTGTATCTGCTTGTGCGTCAGAGTGCGTACCTGTGCATCTGAGCCGCAACTTTAAATACAAATACACCCCTCCATTCAAACTTCAACACTACATACAAGCACACTCCTACATTCAAAAACAAACACTACACATAAATGCACACTTGCATTCAAACTCCAGTACCACATACAAACACATTCACACAAACATACTCCATACAAACACATGCTTACATTCAAAACATACTAACATGGCTCAGTGCTAAATACAACCCTGCAAGCATGGGAAATTGGTAGAGTCTCAGCTGTCAAAGCATTGTTGGAGTTGCACGACAGATGGGGTTCTACCTTTAGTCCAACCTTGCAATTGGGGGTCCCAATAAAATTCATTCTACTTTAGTACCGCCACTGCGTTGGGATGGATGCCGTGATTGCATACCAGGGAGTGAGGGGCGAGAGCGGCAGGGCACAGGGGGCCCAAGCAAACACTTGCCCAGGGTCCATTCGTTATTAAAGACGGCCCTGGTTAAGAGTATCAATGTAACTGATAGTAACAATCAGATTGTAACAAAAAATCTAAATTGTATCTCAGTCCAGTATAAAATATATTGCAGGGTCCAAAGTGACAGGAGGTCCACAGTGTTGTTTGGGAACACAATCTTTGACTTTGAATCCCTTAAAAAAGACAGAAAAAATATATATAGTGCAATACTGTATTTAATGTCTTAAAACACCAATGGAATCCCCCTCCCCAACATAGGAACCCTTACAGAAGAAAAACGTGGTGCTTATCTCTAAGGACCACAATAAAAGCTTATCTGGCTGCAGTCTTATCTCTCCTCTGCTTCAAGGATGCTGTCCGGAGTGTTCACCTCCTGCACTGAGGCTGGCTGTGGATTCAGTAAAAGTTCTCCTCTTCTGCCTCCGGTTAGCATAAAAACTTGTCATGCAGAGTGTTGACAGCAAAACAAGATAAAATGCAGGATGATGGATCACCTAATCAATGCGTTTGGCCCCTCTTAGTGGGCTTTTTCAAGATAGGTGTTAAGTGTGCTAATCTGCAGTTAAATACCTTTGCCGGGAAAAACACATTTGAATTTTTGAAGAAACATGCATTTTTATACACAACAAATCTTAGAACAGGAAAAATGTCCTCATAATGATAGATTGTGGATTATACATCCTCCTGAATGCAGCAATACATAAAAACAATTTGTGCATACTGGAACAATTTATACACAATAAAAAAGACTTATTTATACATGTTAAAACAAACCAATACTTGCTGTAGAGCATGTATAATTACATAGATATACTATATATATATCCTGAGGCTTC